GTCCTGGTATATAATGTAATTTGTCACACACACACACTCTTTAATTCAAGTATCGGCCTTTTCAAAGGGTGAGGTTGGGCAGGAAAGGCAAAATAACCATGAAATGTCTTCAAAATGCATAGTAAAAAAACCAAAACAAAACACAGTGAGGTTGTTGTACAATAGTTTGTGATGGTGGGGAAGGGGCAGAGGGGTGGACCTAAAGGTGTTTTGATCACAAACATGCACACGTTCACTGCACACACACACACACACACACACACACACAGAGAGAGAGAGAGAGAGAGAGAGAGAGAGAGAGAACACACTTACTTTCTCACATGAGTGACTTCCAGATTGTCCTTATTTTGCAGAATAAATTCAAGTGCAGACCAGAGATTTACAGTAGGTTTGCACAATTCAAGTGGGTTAAAGCACTCTGCTACTCTAGTGCAACAAATACACTCCGAAAAAGGAAAAGAAACAGATGTTTTGCTGTAAGGAAAGTGATAGGGAAATGCACAGAAAGGTGTGGAATAAACAAATGATGAATAGAAAGACATATAACTAAACTAATGTATAACTAGTTTAACTAGTTTAAAGTTAAAGGTAAAGGTAAAGGTACCCCTGTCGTGGCCGACTCTAGGGTTGCGCGCTCATCTCGCTCAAGAGGCCAGGAGCCGGCGCCATCCGAAGACACTTCCGGGTCACGTGGCCAGCGTGACGAAGTTGCAACTGGCGAGCCAACACCAGTGCCGCACACGGAAACGCCGTTTACCTTCCCGCTATAAAGTGGTACCTATTTATCTACTTGCACTTAGGGGTGCTTTTGAACTGCTAGGTGGGCAGGAGCTGGGACCGAAAGACGGGAGCTCACCCCGCCGCAGGGATTCGAACCGCCGACCTTTCGATCAGCAAGTCCTAGGCACCGAGGTTTTACCCACAGCGCCACCCGTTAAAATAAACTAAATTGGGAGCACTGGTAGAACTCTCAGAGATGACCTGCTGCACTGCACTAATTCTTTCTGTTTGGAGTTTCCCTGCAGCGAAAGCATGCAGTGCTATTCTGTATGTTACAAATGAGTAAGTATCTTCAAAGAGATTGCTTGGTCAGAGTAGCTTACTGAGACAAAACATTTCTTAGGAATATGGGCCAGCATATGACTGACAATTCAATATATAGTGGATTACATTCTCCACCTGTTTAAAATTAGATGCAAATCCGTTTGGCTACTGGCATCTGTCAGCATCTACCGTCCAACATGGCAGAAGGCATACTTTCTAAGCCTAGGTCTGAAAAAGTCCTGTACAGTGGAAAACACTGTTCATTCTTCTAAATATTTGATGGTCTTTTTTTCGGGGGGGGGGGGGACAATACCACTGGAAAAATTTGGACTGTTACTAACAACCTCATATCTCTGTCACTGAAATCAACAGTATATAGAAATGTTTCATCAAGGATCGTTTTGTGGAACAATAGAAGCCTTTTTTGGAATATATATATATAATAAAAATTATGGTATGATGAATTCGTGAGCAGGATTTGAACTATGAGTAACAGAAGGAATTAGAGATCATTGTATAGTAGTTATGATATAAGAGAGAGAAGATAGGGTACTGTATGGGGGAGAAGCTGAAAACACCATGGAAAATAGGAGGGTAAGTTGAAAAAAAGAAAAAAAGAAAAATTGATTATGCTTTGGGGTGTAGAAGGCAGAGGGCCTTCTCGGTGGTGGCGCCTGCCCTGTGGAACGCCCTCCCATCAGATGTCAAGGAAATAAACAACTATCTGACTTTTAGAAGACACCTGAAGGCAGCCCTGCTTAGGGAAGTTTTTAATGTTTGATGCTTTATTCTGTTTTTAATCTGTTGGAAGCCACCCAGAGTGGCTGGGGAAACCCAGTTGGATGGGCGGGGTATAAATAATAAATTATTATTATTATTATTTAAAAAGTAAAAAAAATCATATGGGTTTGGGTCATGCCCTCAATTATTCGTCTTAGGCTACAATCCTATATACACTTCTGTGTGTGTACCTAAGCCCCACTGAATAGGGCTGACTTCTGAGTAAGCATGCAGAGGAATGCACTTTCTGGCTGCAGTCCTGTTCTCACTTCCCTGAACTCAATGAAGTTTACTTCTGAATGGACACGCATAGGATTACACTATAAAAGTACTTATTAATATTCCCTTCGTTTTTTGGCAGTTTAACCATTTGGGCACAGACACTTATATTGGCAGGCTCCTTGAGTCAGGAAATTGAGCTCGATAATGCTATTTCATGTGATTTCTCTCTCTTTTTGTAATAATAAAAAGTCCTATTGTGCTAAGCTCAGCCACAATTTTTCTTGATTTCCAGCTCAGCCACATTGTCAGAATGACTGATGTGATGGGGAAACACTGGTTGTGTTTCATTTTCCCTCTCCTTTATTATATAGCCTTTAAATCAGGGGCAGGGGGGAGCCCCAAAGTATATTAATTACTTTTTAAATACAGTATTAGAAATGTTGGATTTTAATCAGCGGTAATCTGTCTGCTTTTCTCCTGTCAAGATCACTGTTTTATTGAAACTTTCAAGAGTAATATACTTACTTTCAGACCTATTATCACTGTCATTTCCCAGTTTACATCAGTTATTTTTGTCTTGAGAATTATATTACTGAACTGTGGAGGGCGAGTGAGGGGAGATGATAAAGCATAATGGTGTCAGATAGGGATTTTATAATTTTTTCCTGTGACCTGCACAAGGATGATTTAAAGTTTTTCATTTTCCTTTCTTCCTTGTTTATGTTTAAGGTGATAATAGTAATTGAAGCCTCCAAGAATCTCTCTCTTCAAACAAGTTACAGCAAGACTTCAGCACCACTGGGAATAACAGCTGTGTTCAGGGTCAACATATGAATGGCTCTTCTTGGATTCAACATCCTAGATTAGCTTGACCTGGATCGCTAAGTTACATCTGGAAAGCACCCGCAGGATGAAAGATAGAAATATATTTGTTAGTCTTGTCATCTTACAAATTATGCTATGTAAATGGTTAAAGACAATGATTAACATTCTTACTGAAGCCTTGTGTGTGCTAAATTATGCTTGGATTATTCATCTAAAAGGAGAATTTTTATTAAATATTAAAGCTGCGGAATATTGAGCTTTATATCTGTCACATATAAAGTGACAGATGTGCCTATGCATACACAATAAGCATCAACGAGTGCAATTTGCACATTGTTTTATGCTCCCACAAGCATCTCTCAAAGACGGTAAGGATAGAGGTGTTTGCGAGATGTTAAAGACAATTATTGCCAGAGGTCTGGTAGGCTCTGGAATTCTGCAAATCATATCATCATTTGCTTATTTTGGAACCGCCGCAGAATTTGATTGCGGCTGTGGAACTAGCCACAAAGAACTCCCAGAGGTAGCTGGGAGAAAGATTGAAAATTGGGAATGGGCAAGTTGACCACACCCAAGGAAAGGCGATGCTCCACAACAGTCTAATCTCAACCGAGAGGTGCAGGGATTGCAAGCACTCACCCAGGATTTATGTTTGGAAAACTAGGCACAATGGCGGCTATGTGTATTTAAGGTTTGTTTATGAATATATACAACCTTAGCCTACTTATGGAGGAGCTTGCAGCAACAGCAACCCAAAACACTGGCAGGGAACATGACATTACAGGGGAGGCCAGAGACCCAACTCTTCTCCACTGGTCACATCTGAAAGCCCTATGCATATAAAATGTGAAAGGGGCTCAAGTGGTGTGTACGTATAGGATGTGCTTGATGAGACTGATTCACACATGCATGTTCACCCCTTGATTTTACTGTAGCTGATGACTGTACACCTGAGGTTGACTTGCATTATCTCTTTTTTGTCTGTCAAAGAACCCAATGTGGCCTTCATGTGCAATCATGCATCCATCCACTGGCTTCAGAAAAATTGTGACCTTGTGTCCTTTCAGCAGGAACAATGGGGTTGTGACTTGAAATTCCACTGTAGAAATCACTCAACACTTAGAGCAAGCCCTGATATACTTAGGCCCTGAACTGTGCCTATAATTATTTTGTACCTGATTCTAGATCACCAGAGTGTTCCTTTATAAAAAAGACAGCAGATCTCAGAACTTCCTGGAAACAACATATTTTGGCTCAGAACTAACTGTGTTAGTTAGTTACATAGCCCTGTAAAATAAGCGGGAATCCCGCTGACCAATAATTTGGAAGGGAGGAAGAAATCCACCTCCCAAATAGTTGATGACATAATGTCAGTGATGACATTAGTCAGTGGTGACTGAAGCTGCCTGGCAGGCCATAATACATGCCTGGAGATGGGCATTTGGTATGGTGGGCCCCAGACAACTTGGCACCTTTGTTTCTGATAGGACTTAAGCAAAAAACTAACTTTATCTGGCTGTAGGCCACTGTTGCTATGCTGTAACTTGCAGGTGGGAGGGGATTCTAGGAAATATTTTCAAATTTTGCAGCTAAGTGCACATCAAAAAAGACGAGTGAATCTATTCTTAAGAAATAACTCGGCCACCCATTCCATTTCTCAGAACTTCCAGAGGGCAAGTGTCAACCTCTCCAGGATCCTTGACCAGTTCTTCTAATGTCAAGTGAAGACCATTTTCTGGCAAGAATAAAAGTGTGTCACTGTGGTGACATTTCAGATTTCACAGTAGGGGCAACATTTAGCAAGAGGTTAGGTGGAAAAATAAATCTATTTTAGGATTGGCTGTAATGGTTGCCATCATTACAACCTGGGGCCATTAAAATCAACAGGAGCTTCTCTATTAGCTTCTCTGGGAAAGTGGATTCTACCTTATAATGGGAGCCCCTATAGGGTTGCTCGTACAATAAAATTATTCATGTAGGACAAAAATAACAACTTAATGCCAGTGCTTTATCTTCTACTGGAAACAATGAGCTTCCTTTTGCTGAAGAGGACAAGATGGAATGCATTGTGTGTGCTGTTCCACAAAAGTAAAACTTTTGTCATTCCCGAACAAAGTAAAATAAAGCAATGCAGAAAGTGAGAGGTATAATGACTGTGGGAATTAAAAGGCAGGTCTAAGTTGAATCAGCTCCCAGATATCAACAAATTCCTCTGCCACATATATGGCAAAATAATCTGTAAGTGGTTTACAAGTATAAAATCAATTATAAAAGCCATACTTAATTAAAATACATGATGGAAACAATTCCATCCAAACTTTTAAAAAATATATAATTAGAATTTACCATACAACAAGGCGATTAAAAAGAATAAAAATAAAAGCAGTTAAAAGAGCAGTGCAAGCAATTCAGTCAGGAAGTTCAAGTTCAATGGAATGCTTGCCTAGACAGCTGTGTCTTCAGGAGTTGCTGGAATATCCATACAGCTAGAGCCTATCACATTTCAACAGGGAGGGCATTCTACAACACTGTTGCCACCAGTGAAAAAGCCCACCTGTGGTTACCGCAAGCCAATAATGATGGTTTGAGGAAATAAAGCATTCTTCCATAGAGGTGTGAGAAAGAGAGGAGAAGCCAGGGGAATCTCTCAAGCTCCTTGTTCATTCTCAACTGGAATTCAATGTTTGTCCATTGTATCTGAGAAAACAAAGCAGATCCATACATCAAAACACGGCAAAGCCAGAGGGATTTTTCCAAAGGAACTATAATGAAAGGATCAGCCAGTGGTGTAGACTTGGGTGAACTGTGATCTATTACCAGGTGAGAATTGAGCGTATGTTATTGTGCTTTGCTTTTCGTTAAAGGTTTTTGGTATGCTAGCACATTATTGAATTCACAACATTCTGGGGAGGTTGCATGTGTCTTTATTTTTCTCTTTCCTGACTGGAATCCAAGCACCTGTGACAGGTGCGCCTGACTCTTCTTTTTAAAGCATCTCCTCTCTCTCTCTCTCTCTCTCTCTCTCTCTCTCTCTCTCTGTGTGTGTGTGTGTGTGTGTGTAGAATAGAAGGAGGATTGAGATGACTGTACTGGCATGAAGATTAACCCCCTACTTACACCACTGAAAACTTCTTGGGACTACTGAAATCAGAGCCATCCCAGTGTATCTTATTTCCCGAGCCATTTCCCTCTGTTAATACTTTGTCGTCTCTATAAACTAGTTCCAGCTGTGTTGATTTGCCTGATAGAGCACTTCAAGTTTGTCTTTGGAGTCTAACATGCTGCACTGTCAGCTGACACCAGCACCTTGGTCCACCTAATCAGATTCTGAATGTGATGGGAAATGGGGAGGAAACACAAAAGCAAGCTATTGCTGAAACTGTTGCTGATAAATATAGCTCTTGGGTCAGACAGTCAGCAGCGGTGTGAAACAGCCCAAGATATCATCATGATTTGGATTGTCGAAATAACCCATGTTAGATGGGCATAAAAAATATGGAGTGAAGCTTGCAAATCCAGCCAAATGTTCAGCACTTTTAAGCACCACTCATTTCAGAGAGAGGCACATAGCATTATTCTGGGACCAGGGGTACCTCACCACAATGCAGTCAGAATTACTACCAATGCATGCTTAGTGGAAGGGCTTCGGTAGAGGCCTGTGCATTCAACACAGGGACACGGGTGGTGCTGTGGTCTAAACCACTGAGCCTCTTGGGTTTGCAGATTTGGAAGGTCAGTGGTTTGAATCCTCATGACAGGGTGAGCTCCCATTGCTCTGTCCTAGTTCCTGCCAGCCTAGGAGTTTGAAAGCATGCCAGTGTAAGTAGATAAATAGGTACCACTCCGGCAGGAAGGTAAACGGCATTTCCATGCGCTCTAGTCTCTGTCATGGTGTTCCGTTGTGCCAGAAGCAGTTTAGTCATGCTGGCCACATGACCTGGAAAACAGCCTGTAGACAAACGCCGGCTCCCTCGGCCTGAAAAGCGAGATGAGCACCACAACCCCATAGTCATCTTTGACTGTCCAGGGGTCCTTTACCTTTTTTTATGCATTCGACCTAACCTGCTTCATAGAGGTGTTAGGACAAAACAGCAGGAAGACCTATAGTTGTATCTAAGTTCTGTGGGGAAAAGGGTGGAATGTAAGTGGAGTAAATACATGAGGCCTAGTTAGCTTTGAGGCGGTAAACCTGTGTGCTCTGTACCATGACTGTGGTATTATATGACTGAATGCCACTTCATTGGGGGAGGGGGAATGCTTCAAAAAAAATTAAGGGAAATGATTGTGTGAGGAAGAGTTAAATCAAGTAACCTCCCACCCACAGTCTAAAGGGGTACAAATAGTATACAGGCTTAAAACATCAGTGATAAATCTGCTGTGCCTTAGTGGACAGTTACCTCCACTAAACTAGGCCCTGTACAGGTACGCTACAGATCTTGCCTGTAAGTGAATCAATTTTTTAAAGGTTGCCACGGGCAGTTTATCTCACCAAAAAGCACATGCTACTTAAATGTTCATATCAAGGAGAAACTTTACTGCCATGTTCTAATACACAGTAGAAGATGGGGATGTCATAGAGTGGGACCCTAAGAGGGCTGTTATTAATTCTCTCAAATATTGGTGGAGATTGGAAGGCCTCCACGCCCAGAGTTTGCTTAATAAGCTTGCCGATTTCATTTTGGTGCCTCCATATCTGTGTCACACTCTGCAAGTCGAAACTTGGGCTTCTGTAACCACAAGGAGCAAATTCTGACAAGTGTCTTGCCCTTCCCAATTTGCTGCCTTTGCGGCTTACATCCCAGGTGCAACAGTTTGCGGATTTGGATAGGTGAGTGAGTGGCACCTGTCAAAATACTTTCCCCGCTTCAAGATGGGAGCTGGGGAAGATAGCACATTCCAATAAGTGGAAGGCACCTATCGTAAATCGCTGCCTCCTGTATCAAGGATACAAATGGTAAAGATAGCAAATTCTGACAGGAAAGTGACATCCATCAGCATTTTCTAGAAGTGCTGTTCTTATTTCAGAATGTAAAATGATACAATCATCATCTTTTGCTGCTAGAAGCAAGTGCAGGCTGGAAGGCATTTTTTTCAGTGATATACTGCTTCTTTCTTTCCCCCCAAATTAAGCCTTGGGATTTCATTTCATTCCACCTGCTTAGGGAAAAAGCAGAGTGGGGGAGCTCATGCTGTCAAAATGTTCCCGAATCTGTATTCTATGGTCTAGGATCTGGAATGGGGAACCTGTAGACCTCCAGGCGCAGTAACACAGGAGATGGGCTTTTAGTGTGGTTGCCCCTGTTCTGTGGAATAGTATTCTTGTTGAGATACGACAGGCACTGTCGAGGAACAAGATATTGCTCAGTGGGTTAGAGTGCTGTGCTGATAATGCCGAGGCTGCAGGTTCAATCCCTGTATGGGACAGTTGCATATTCCTGCATTGCACGGGGTTGGACGAGAGGATCCACAGGACCCCTTCCAACTCTTCACCATCCTGAACATCATCCATGGTGATTGGGGCTAGTGGGAGTCACAGTCTAACAACAAAAGCTCCTATCATTCCTTTCTACACCGAGTAGAATGGAATGATAGGGATTCATACATTGTTTGATTCCAGTTTCGGTCTCTGACTTACAACGTTATTGCCTCCCAGTTACAAGGTCTTATCTTCAGCAAGCCCTTAAACGCTATAGAATTCCTCATCTTCCAGGCATTGTTTCTAGAAGCACAGTTCATATTGTAACTGCTACAAATATTGTTGTTGCTGCTGCCGCTGTTATTATGACTTCATTTTCCAGCTGACTCTTACAGGATGTGAATTGGAAAACTTACAGTATCATATCAAGCATATTTACTTAGAGGTCAGACCCACAGAGCTTCAACAGAACTCACTTCCAGACTCGTCCAGCATTTTAGACTGCAGTTTACACACTTACCTAGGGGTAAGCCCCACTGAAATGAGTGCAATTTTAAAATGTTCAGCTTTGATCAGAGGGCTTCCTCCATCTGGCTCTACCACCTTCTGCCCTGTGACCTCTATTGTTAATGACCTCTGAGACAGCCATTACAGGAACACAAGATATCTATCTTCACAGTGCCAGAAGTCCCCCCCCCCTTTTTTTTTTTTTGCTTTCCTTTCTAATGTGTGTGCATGTGGGGCAGAGCGGGGAGAAGCAGCCATGGTAATGTATTCGAAATACCCAGCACCACTTCTGCCTTAAGCCTAAGTTTTGTAAACATGGACCTTATTTAGAAGATTCCCAGACTCCCCCAAGTGGATAGCAAAGAAATGTAGCTCTAGAGATATTGCCAGGAAGATCCCTCCTGGCAGTCATTATCCATAATGAGCTAAATCCCTGCATTCTGATATACACTCTCTTTCCCCCATTAGCTTCAGAGCATTTGTTTGACAAGAATCATTGCCTAAGACTCTTCTTGCAAGCTGATGAGCTTTTTGCTCATTCCGTAGCTTAGCCTCTAATGTGTGTGTGTGGGGGGGGAGGAACCTGTGGCCCTCCAAATGCAAGTAGGATCCAACACCCCAGCAGATATTTAATGTTTTAAATATGTCCATTAAAAAAAAAAATCCTATTGTTTTATCACTTCAGTGTTTGCCACCCTGGGCTCCTTTGGGAGAAGAGTGGGATATAAAGATCTTCTTCTTCTTCTTCTTCTTCTTCTTCTTCTTCTTCTTCTTCTTCTTCTTCTTCTTCTTCTCCTCCTCCTCTTCCTCCTCCTCCTCCTCCTGAACCAGCATGGCCAATGGCCAAGGATTATGGGTCTGAGTGTCCAACACCATCTTTAGGGACACTTTCCCCTATGTCTGCTGTAACGTAAACCTCTTAGGAGGAAGGGGTCAGGTTATTTTTTTACAGACCAGGAGAATCCACCTCAAACCCTCAAAGCTTCCACTTTTTAATATACCATAATTATATATTTTTAAATCTGCTTACGGAAGTTCTATAAAATGGCTTGTGTGATTCTTTCAACTGTCTGTCTATTGCTCAAACTGTGCCCTCCTTGCTGTCTTGCCTTTCTCCTTATCATACAGCTCAACCATATGCATATTTACTGGGAAGTATTTGTGTTCGGTGCAGTTTACTTCCAGGAAAGTAATGTTTCTGGAAGGATCCATCTTAGAGCTGCAACCTTCAACTCTCTTACTGGAGAGAAGGCCCCACTGAAGACAGCGGGACTTCCTTCAGAGTAAACGTGACTTGGATGTATTGGCAGGGGGGTAAATGAGAGAACCGTTTGTAGTCCCTTCCAGGTCTATTTTACTGATTAATTTTATTTAAACAATTCCTATGTTTCTATGATTGTGCTTCATAACCCACTTGTGTGCCATCATGATCTGTTTATCTGAAGGCTGGTAGTCTAAGGAACAAGTTGTAGTTTTTCTCAACCCAGGATTGTTCACACTCATCCTCAACATGTTGCTTACAGTGTTGTTCAAACTTGGACACTAGTTGGTTTTGGACTACAATTCCCATCATCCCTGACCACTGGTTCTGCTAGCTACGGATGATTAGAGTTGTAGTCCAAAAACAGCTGGAGACCCAAGTTTGAGTAACACTGTGCCGCTAGATTGATTCTAGATCCTTCAATTCCAAGGGTGGGTGTGGCTACTGATACATATTTGAAAACTCTTCCCTTGGTTAGTTATCGACACCTTTTCTTTCCTGCACATGCCCCAGGTGAATGAAGAAAGAAGTGATGGTTGCCACCTTTGTACATGCCACCATCCTTGGGCAGCTGTGGAGACATCTCCATTTCTGGGATTACCTGTATCTGTTTTCAAATGGACAGGGGCACAAAATATTTACAGGGGCACAAAATATGCAGCACACCTAGACTGTGTGTGGACTACAGAAAAACAACAGGAACCCAGTTGCCACTCATTCTGGAAGAAAACGATGTGTGGACACCAATTAAAAAACCTGACTAGCCAAGATGGGGTGGTTGGTGGTATTCAGCTTCTTAGAATCATAATGTCAGATGTTCTCAGAATGACTACAGACAGGGGTACCAACTTGAATAAACTAGAGGGGCAGGTAAACACACCTGCATATTCGACCACATGACAAAGTGCACACACACTATTTGACTGGCAATGTCCATCAACTTTTTGGGGGGAGGCCTTTGGCCCCTTGAAATATTTTTGGGGTGGCCTGAAGCCACATCAGCCTCTGGGAGTCAGGCATAATAGAGTAATAAGTATGATAAAATTTAAAATCAACAACTTAATTGATAAGTATTTGAAACCCGGTATGGCTTTTGGAAGTCCATTATATTAATAGCTCCAAGAGCAGCTTTCTCTCTTATTGCCACAGATCCGTTTAACTCTTGCCGTGCTGCTCTGCACCTGTTCAGATCCGAAAAGAAATTGCATGCGGACCCCAGCAAGCCTCTCCACTCGGCCTGCATCTTAAGCGGCACCCCCGGCAGAGCGTGCGCCTCAATCTGCTTTTTCACCAATTAAGCCATCTTCGGGTTAGAGGAAGAAATAAAAGTCTCTGTAAATCCATTGCAGGAGGAATGGTCCCCAGGCTTTCCGCTGGCTGGCTATTGATCCCTTTAAGTGCCTGCTAATGAGACCCGTTTATACCCAATAAAGCACGCGCTACCGGAGCGCCAAAAGACAGATGAAGTGCTCGCAAGGAAAGGCAGCACGCCCCTCCCCCCGAAAACCCGGGCACAGCGGGAAGAAGTATTGATCTGCTGCGGGGCCGCCCTTCAAGGGTTAACCTGCTCGAGAGAGAGAGAGAGAGAGAGAGAGAGAGAGAGAGAGAGAGGAGGGGGCGTGGCCACGGTGGCATCAAATCTTGAGGTGGGAGGTGGGAGTCTACAAAAGAGAGGCAACGCTGCCGGCTCTCTCCAAGTCCCGCGGTCTGTTCCTGAAAGGGAAGAGGCGCTGAGGCTGGGAAAGCCTTGGAAGCCTTTGATTCTTCCCCACCGCCTCCGTGTGTAGTTTCCCCAATGGTGGTGGAAGGCAACATTTATTTTCCTGCTTCTTGCTCTCCCATGCACACCCCGAGATTCCAAAGGTTGCAACCCCTGACACTGAAAAACCCGGTCCTGCGGGCAGTCCAGCTGCTTCTCGCTTGGGATCTGCAGGCAGGCAGGCAGGCAATGACAGGTACGGGGGGGTGGGGGACAACTACTACAGGGGAGGAGGCCCACAGCAAGGAGTCCCCCTAGCTCTGCTTCCTGTATCCCAACAAAGCGCAAAGTAGGAAGCCCGCAAACAAGGCAGAGAGAGAGAGAGAGAGAGAGAGAGAGAGAGAGAGAGAGAGAGAGAGAGAGGAGCAGCGTTTGGTCTCGGATATACACTCCCTGGTGGTGGAGGCTCCACCAAGCTGGCGCGCATAGCAGAGAGTCGCTTGTAAGCAGCGAGGAAGCGGCTGCCCCGTCTTCCCCCACCTCCACAGGATCCCACCACAGCCTTGACCCCCGAGAGCAGGCGTCGATCCTGCTCGAGAATGATCCTGTCGGGAACGATCCCCCCCCCCACAACTAAGCGAGAGAAGCAGCTGCGAATGTCACATCTTAAGGAAAGGGGATTCGCTGCAGCTGATGGAAAGGCTTCCCTCGACCAGCCAGTCAGGGACACTCGCTCGCCTACCTAAATAAAAAATAAATTAAAAAAATCTCCCCCTCCCCTCTCTTCCTTCTCTTATATTTTACCTGGGCGACGGCAGCAAGAAGCTGATGTGGGGAGCGGGGGCGCCCTCTTCGCTTCTCCTCCTCCTCTGTCCGTTATTGCCCTCTTCTGTGGAGGGCTTGAGCCAAGAGTGAGGGTGGGGAGGGGGGAAACTGAGGAGGAGAGTGGGGGGGAGGAGGAGGAGGAGGAGAGAAGGCGGCGTGTGACAGATGCACTCCTCTGACAGCTCCCCGGCTAGTGGCTCCCTGCCATTGGCTCAGTGCAGCGGAGCGGCAAGGCTGCGCGCTATAATAGCACCATGCCTGTGCGAGGCAGCAGCTCAGACTCCTTCGACAAAGCCAGAGAGATGCTAAGGCTGCTCCTCCTCTCTCTCCTCCTCCAGCAGCAGCTCTAAGGGGAAGGGGGGGGAAGACCGTGGTCAATGCCTGCTGGCTCCGGCCATTGCTAAGCTCGCCTGCTTGCTGGGTCTCTGTCCGTCTCGCTCTTTCTTCCCCACCCTGCGGAAAGGCAGAGCCGGGCTGCCGCTACTTCCACCGCCTGAGCTGGAGCGAGCAGCCGGAGGGAGCGCGGTGTGCATGCCTCTGGTGCGCGCGCCTTGTGTGTGCTCGGGCTCGCTTCCCCCCGGGTTTCCCCACCCACTCCCGCCGCCACCCCATCGCCGCTTCCTCGCACCGCCACCCTACACGCGCACGCACATACATACACGCGCGCGCGCACACACACGCCCGGCGCCTTGCTTCCCGGCTGATCGGGCACCCTCGGGGTGCATGGAAGCAGCGGCGGCGGCAGCAGCCCACGAGGCGGCTGCCCCATGGAGTGTTATTACATTGTCATCAGCTCCGCGCACCTCAGCAATGGGCACTTTCGCAACATCAAGGGAGTTTTCCGAGGTCCTCTCAGCAAGAACGGCAACAAAACTCTGGTAAGGAGCCTTCCTCTCCACCCGCCCGCCCCCTCTCCTCTTCCTCGTTCGCTCCATTATCTGTTGATGCCTCGCTTGGGTTAACTCTGGGTTCAGCACCGCAGCGTCCTGGACAGCTCCAAGCGGCGCGCTCCAGGGAAGGTTCTCTGGCGGTTTGGTGGAGATATATTTGCTAAAGGATGGGGGAAACGATTACCTTGTGTTCAGTCTCCCCTGCTTTCTTGTCGGTTTACTTTTGGGTCTTCTCCAACGTGCTCGTTATGTGATGGGACCTGGTTTACCGTAACACCCCAGTGGAAGGGGCACAGATGCTCTTGCTTATTGGTCGAAGCAGTGGTTAGTTCGAGTCCTTCTTCTCTTGGAGGGCAGAGTGTTTAAAACAAGCTGTGCAGTTATCTGGTAGAGGTTACGACTCCAGAGGAGGAAGTGGAATCCCTCTTATGTCTAGCTCTGGTTCAGCTTTGTTTAATACGAAAGAGGGTGTGAGGGTCTTCAGAAAGTGAAGAGAAAGGCTCAAACTATTGAGTTTTTCATTAGGAGGTTGTTGAAGAACGATAGCAGCTCAGAGCATCCCCCCTGTTGATAAGAAGGGGATGTAAATCAACTTATAGTACAATCCCATGCATGTCTACTCTGAAGTTGGCCCCACTGTTTTCAATGTACCTTACTCCCAGATAGTGTATCTAGGATTACAATCTTGCACACCTGTTCTCATTTGACTTCAAAGTGCTTAAGAAGGCACTCCTATACCCTCTCACTCAGGAGTAAGCTCCTTTGAGGATAGTAGTATGAACATAAGGTTGATGCTGACTAACTGCCCATGGGGTGGCTTGAGTTGAGAATGCACTAAAGGCACACCTACCTCAATGATATATTGGTATATTCAGGTTGCCAGCCAAATTACATTAGTTGGGGTGTTTGGCTGGCAACTCTTCTGTTAAATCTGTTGACGAACACATGCTTGGTTTGACTTGAGAGTGATCACATTTGTTGTGTCTCTGTTTGAAATTGTTGACGCTGGAAGGAATTGTTTTCTGAAGAAGTTCAGCTTCTTCATATGACAAATGAGATGCAGGAAGGCTACCCACTGTGGACCTGTCACCATGTGCAAGAGAGCCCTGAAAAAGTTCTATAGTACTGGATCCAGCTTTGGAGAGAGGAACGCTGTTTTCTCACTAGTGCTTATTGAAACTTTTCTATAGCAACAATGCAGTAGGAATTCAGCACATGTCCCTTGTGTGGAAGAGTTGCTTCCTATGCTTGCTAAAGATGGTTACCTTGTGATTTCTCTGTAAATATAGTGACTGAACAAAGTTTGAGGCAAGTCCTAAAATAAATTACACTAAATAGAAAATGACACTGGTTTGGGAAATGTTGGTGCTCTCTTCTATGGTTTATTGCGGGAAACACCTTGTTAAATTCATTCATGTTTCATCAAGCAGGGACACACAAACAAAATGCCATACAGAGATTTTACATACACAGAGATTCCTATGAAATAATAATGGAAGATGATATGAATTATGCCAAGTAGGGTGCTGTTCTCTTTAAGGAGCCATAAGGCAAGAATGATTCATTGATGAAATTAGCAAGCAGCCCACAAGCATTTCTATCCATGTTGGTTAAACTGTATCAAAATCTTATTACCTTCATTGTTCACTAGCCTGAGCTTTCATTGCTATGATTGGTTTGTGTATACAGAATTTTCTCTGTGTCTTTAACAACTGTGATCCTAAATACAATTCCTTGGAAGCAAGTGCCCATATTGTCAATGGAATGTACTTCCAAGCAGGTGAAATGGGTTCCTATCTCAAATATCTATAGGTAAATTTGTTACCAGTGGCAAGGGAAGATTTGCTGCAATATTTCAGATGCCTGCAACAAAGTCAATGTTACACCTTGTGGAGGATTGCAGCTCAAGTTGATGCACTTCTGTAAAGTTCTGTTTGGTGACAAGTGGCACTTTGAAATGTCATGTTGATCACATTCCAATATATATATATATGTGTCAAATGCCTTTTGTCATGTACCACTAATACATCTGAAAGTTCAATTATCTGCTTATTATTCGGCATGATTGGGAGGAAATCTTAAGATATTTTCTTACGTACCACATTCTAATGTAGAAAAGTCCTAAATGTCACTAATCCCTGAGTACTGACATAATTTGTTTTGCCTTGAAGTTATTTTGGCATGTGGCAAAATTGGCCTTTGCCGCAAATCTAATTCAGTTTCTGTATTTGGGGAGAGTTTTTGGTTTTTTTTAAAAAAAGTTAATTTAATGAAAGTGATACAGAAGACTTCCTGAAAGGTAATATAAGGAAAATCATCTTATAATACAACCTAATGCTCTCAAAAATGAAATTCATTTCTTTTTGGAAGTGAATGCAAAATTATTTCACAGACCCAGTCAACCAGGATGTAAATGTACTTCTTAAATGTAATTTAAAGTGGAAAAACCTTCCAAGGGAGATATGGGATTTTTCATAAGTAAAAAATACATAGTCTTCAATCTTGACTTTCTCTTCTTGATACATAATAGAAAGGGGCATTATGCATGAAAAAGGAACCAAATTAACAGCATAATGGACAGAAGGGGAAAGAGGTAGAGCTGGCACCCAACTGAAGACAGTGCGGTTAACTTTGTTAAAGAATGAAATTAAGTTGCATGATTTTACGTATTAGGACAAATGGGAAAAGCTATTCATTTTTGTTTTTGGATGGGAAGGGGAGAACGTGTTGCTATCCAGGTGTTCCTGGACTACAACTCTTGTATTCCTTTAGCATTGACCATGTGGGCTGGAGCTGATGGGAATTGGAGCCTTATAATATCTGGAGGGCTGCATCTTCCCCATCACTGTCCAAGCAGGCACCACCTTAGAAGATGTGTTCCATGCAAGAAGGCATCATCTAAGTTAGTGCTTACCACCCACAGTTTTTTTGTCAGAATTTTTATTTTAAAAGGGTTTCCTGATTTATTAGTATTTAAAACTTTTAATAGATTAAGCAGTGCCCCAGGTTAATGTAACTACTGAACTAAAAGTTGTAATCTATGGTGAAATATATACAATTCAGTTGTCCCCAAAGTAGCAAGTCCATTGTGATTTGGCGTCACACCCCAAATCCAGCTGTTGTCAATGGTCTTTGCTAGTTGTAGAGTGTGGTGAAAAGCAACCACTTCTTCAGAGTTCATGGAATAACTTCAGTGCTGTTTATTAAGTCTTTGATTGACAATTGACTTTGTCCTGAAGAGATGTAGATGTATCATTCCACCAAAAAATTGTGTGCATCTCTCTCTCTCTCTCTCTCTGTGTGTGTGTGTGTGTGTGTGTGTGTGTGAAATGAATATATATATATATATATATATATATATGCACACACATGACTGAAGCCAAAATGAACTTCTGCCAAAACCGTTTTGTGACATCAATCAACTTTAGTGCAGGAGACCCAGGTTGTTTTGTTGGCAAGGAAGTGCATACATTCCCAGGGAACGTCAGATATAGAAAAACCCATAAGACTGGTTAAATGAGCAATTTATGATTTTAGATGTAATGAAAGGGCCCTGGTTATTTCAGCTTTCAAAGGAGTTTATTTTATTGCATTTGTGCAATTTCTCCATTGGCCAAGAGGGGCCACTGCTGAGCAGTTTATCCCCCTCTCTTGTGCTCTCGTCTCTTTCTCCTCTGAACTAACTTTGCTGTGTGGTTGTGGTCTTAAGAATGAGGACAGAAGATGTTAATCCCACTCCTGATCTAGTGAGCAAAGAAGCACAAATCTGAGGATTTATTGCTCTTTCTCAGATTTCTAGTTGGGGGTGGAAGAGGTGATGGTGCCTTAGGTCTTTTCTTCGCTTGCTTCGCTGCTTGTGAGTGAGTTGAAAGAGATGATTGTGAAAGTGCAGCTACATGGTGTTAAATAGAGGAAATGAAGATCCTCCATTCATATCCATAGTTCCGTAGTAGGAAAGTGTGACACCCCAGCACCCTCACATTCATGGTCAAGTAAATCAATAAAAATAACTGAGGTTCTGCTCCCTGCTAACATAAACCCTGGCTATGCTATGCCCATGATCACATTATTTTCATTTCTACTATGAGACAGAGGGAAATGTTTCGCCGTGATGAGGATGCAAAAGGAAACTGAAGAACAAAGAAGTTGGGGGACAGGGAAGGAGACCACAAGAGCTGTGAGACTGGAAAATGGCTATGGATCAAGAAAACCATGAGTGAACATTGTAGTGAATGTAAAGGTTGGAGAAGATGCTATAAGCCCTGGATGGAAATTTGTGGTCCTCCATATATTTGTTGGACTCCAACTCCCATCAGCCTTTGCCAGTATAGTTAGTGGTCAGGAATGATGGGAGTTGTAGTTCACCACTAAGTGGAGGGCCACAGGTTCCTTGCCTCTGGGGTAAATGAGTGTAATTGAAACAAATGTTCAGAAGGAGCATGGAAATGAACTCAAACTTTGATGCTGTGTCGCTGTATGGTGTAATTAAAATTATGCAGTGAAAATTGAGGTCCTGTAAATGTTTCCCTGGGGATAAGTACAATGAAGCTCAACAGGACCTATTTCCAAGTAGATAAAGGTAAAGGACCCCAGTTAAGTCCAGTCAAAGGCAACTATGCTGTGCAGCGCTCATCTCACTTCAGGCAGAGGGAGCCAGTGTTTGTCCACAGACAGCTTTCCGTGT